AGATGGTGGCTGTGTGGGTGCTGGCCTTTTTAGCGAATGGGCCGATGATTCTAGTTACAGAGTCTTGGAAGGATGGGAGTAATACATGTGAACCTGGATTTTTTTCACATTGGTATGTGCTGGCCTTCACATCTTTCTTGGAATTCCTGATCCCAGTCATCTTAGTTACTTACTTCAACTTGAATATTTACTGGAGCCTATGGAAGCGTTCTAATCTCATCAGGTGCCAGAGCCATTCTACACCTCCCTGCGTCTCCTCCAGCAACTGTGGACACTCAGTCAGATGTGGACTCTTTCCAAGGACATCTCTTCCAAAGGAAGCAGCTGCATCCTTTCGTTCCGAGAGACAGAGAAGAAAGAGCAGTGTCTTGTCTTCCTTGAAACCCCGGAAGAATAGCAGTATAATTGCTTCCAAAACGAGGTCCTTCTCCCAGTCAGATTCTGTAGCTCCTCACCAAAGGGAACATCTTGAACTTCTCAGAGCCAGGAAATTAGCCAAGTCTCTGGCCATTCTCTTAGGTATTTTTGCCATTTGCTGGGCTCCATATTCTCTGTTCACAATTGTTCTTTCAGTTTACCCCCCAGAGGAACGTCCTAAATCACAGTGGTATGAAATTGCCTTTTGGCTTCAGTGGTTCAATTCCTTTGTCAATCCTTTTTTGTATCCATTGTGTCACAAGCGTTTTCAGAGAGCTTTCTTGAAAATATTTCGCATGAGAAAGCAACCCACACCATCACACAATCAGTCATTATCTTCTTAAAGATAATCTTCTCACTTCCGTAAATTTTACTTTCGATCTCACCTAAAATGAATTAGAATTGGACTTCATCTTTCCCTTTCCACTCTCCCAAAAAAGACCATACAATTGTATCACTTGAAAATTAAAAAAAAAAAAACGAAACACCTGAACCCAGAAGTCAAATTATTCCAGTGAATACTAACAGTATAATTATGAATTGATAATAGTTTTGCAAACTCATAGCCGCAAAAGTACCCTATTTTTCTTAGTCATCACCTCTTCCTTGCTTTTTAGATCTTGATATAATGTCAATTGCAAAACTCCAAGGTTTTCGTTTTGCTACTGTCTTAAGTGTATTTCCCTTTTTAAATATTATAGTGATAGAAACTTACCCAGTTTGAAAATTGTTGCCTAAAGTATGCAGCAGAAAAAAGAGCCTCTTTGCTGAGGTTGGACAACTCTGCTGTGAGAAGTGGGCAGGTGAGTTGGAGTTGGAGTTGGCAAGGACAGGGAGGGAACGTGTCCAGGAGAGCTCGTATTTCCAGACTTGGTATTCCTCATCCCAAGAAGTAAGAAAGTGTGGTGTGGTAGAGGAAAGAGCCTGAGACAGCAGCTCTCAAAAGCCCTCCGGGAAGTTATCTGGGAGGCCCAGGCAATCACAGGATTAGAGGGCCAGGGACAGGTAGTGGTCAGCCATGGTTGACAGTACGGCTAGTGCCTTTCCTTCCTGCCCTCTTCTTCCAACTTCTACAGCTGCTAAATTGCTGGAAATTATCTTTGTGAAAAAATATGGGAGAAAGAGGAAGGCTAAGAGGTGGTGAAAGGCCTAATTGGTTAAATTAGATAAATGTAGGAAACAGTCACTGAACTAGATGATGTCAGTAGTTATTAACAGGACATTGCTGTGTTTTATATCTTTAACACATTTCCCCATTATTTTATAGCGTGGTGTGTAGAGTTATTCCTTTATTGTGTATTTAGCATAGATCATACTTTGCTGGTGATTCCCATTTTATTAATTTGGTGATGTTTTGTCCACTTCTTTCTTTCTTTCTTTTTTTTTTTTTTTGAGACAGAGCCTCAAGCTATCCCCCTGGGTAGAGTGCTGTGGCATCACAGCTCACAGCAACCTCCAACTCCTGGGCTCAAGCGAGTCTCCTGCCTCCGCCTCCCAAGTAGCTGGGACCACAGGCGCCCACCACAACGTCCAGCTATTTTTTTTGGTTGCAGCTGTCGTTGTTTTGGGGGGCCGGGCTGGGGATTCGAACCCGCCACCTTAGGTGTATGTGGCTGGCACCTTAGCCACTTGAGCCACAGGCGCTGAGCCACTTATTTCATTTTTAATTATTGCCTTTTTTTTCAGTGTTTTCTGTTTGCCTTTGTCATAAAATTTCATTTTTCTCATAGTTAATTTCATCTCTCCTATAACGTTTATCAGTGTTTCTTTTATACCATCTCAGAACTCTTCTATAGTTTAGTCATTTTCATTTTCTCAGAAACTTTTAAAACTTTTTTTTTTTTTGAGACAGGGTCTCACTATGGCGCCCTTAGTAGAGTGCTGTGGCATCCCAGCTTATAGCAACCTCAAACTCTTGGGCCTAAGTGATTCTCTTGCCTCAGCCTCCCAAGTAGCTGGGACTACAGGCACTCACCACAATGCCCAGCTATTTTTTGTTGCAATTGTCTTTGTTGTTTAGTTGGCCCAGGCTGGGTTCGAACCTGCCAGCCTCCGTGTAGGTGGCTGGTGCCATAACCCCTATGCCAAAACTTTTAAAACTGTTGATTAATTTTGACCACTAAAGTATAAAAATCTTTTAGTGAATGTTTAGAAATGTGCACAACTTTATAGATACTTGTGCCTTACCTTAAATTTCAGAGATACATGTTTAATACTTAATAGTAATTTGAAGAATTCAAGAAATAAACTTCATATATGCACACATTTTTATGAAGTTTCTACTTCTTAGTTGTTGGTTTTAACATTTTTTTTTTTTCTTGAGGCAGTCTCACTATGTCACTCTTGGTAGAGTGCTGTGGTGCCAAAGTTCACAGCAACCTCAAACTCTTGGGCTTATGCAATTCTCTTGCCTCAGCCTCCCAAGTAGCTGGGACTATAGGTACCTGCCACAATGCCAGGCTGTTTTTTGGTGCAGTTATCATTGTTATTTAGCAGGGCCTGGCTGGGTTCAAACCCACCAGTCTCGCAGCATATGGCTGGTGCCCTAACCACTGAGCAACGGGTGCCAAGCCTGGTAGCCTAGTTTTAATATTTTTGAATTAATACTTGTAGATTTCATCTGATCATTGAGGCTTGAATGTTCATTGAGTATGGTGGTCCCATGAAAACTTTTCCCAGTTGAACCTTTGGGGAAATATGCCTAAATATTTACTTAAACTTTCTAAAGTATGTGTACAATATAATATGCATAGTATTTCATTTAATCTAAGTGCTGTCAATGTGAGACTTACTATTATTTTACTTACCACTGTAAAAGACAAAATGCTGTGAATAGCCTGTGATAATGTACTTGACAGTAAGTAAGTCCTATTCAGATTTCAGAGTCATTGGGAAGTGAGCAATGTGTCTTAGAAGTGATGAAGAATGACATACGTGTAATAAATGGACTGGACAAAGTGATCCTCGATGAAATGAATTCAAAAAATGCTTCCGACAGTACATGGATGTATTCATTAAACAAATGTTTATCAAGAGTTTGTCGGCTCGGCGCCTATAGCTCAACCGG